TCTCTCTCTCTCTCTCTCTCTATTGTCTCGCTGGGATCTCCGTGTTTCCGGGCCACCTGTGTTGTTGTCAGCTGTTGAGAGTCTCCTTGCCTCTCTGTCCCGCGTCTAGCAGTGTGCTGTAAACACAGATCGCCAGCGGCAGCCGAAATCGGAACGATAACATGTTCTTGCATATGAGAGTTAAAGTACCGTTTCACGTACCATTTAAACGGCGACTCTCCTTGATGTTGATGACGTTTCTTCTTCCTTCTGTTCCCTCGGTGTCCTGTGGTCCCAGCCCTTCGGCGTCGGCGAGGAGAGTTGGGGGCACATTATTGTAGGGCGCGATGACCATCCCACTTGCGGGACCGCATCCGCTTCGCTAATTAACCCCCCTCTACGCTTGACCGACGTGACCGCGGAAAACTGTCGCTTTGAATCGCCAAAATTTATTCGGGAACCGCTATGTACCACCTTCCCCTTTTTCCGATAGGCGCGAAATCACACGAACGGTGCTCGTTTAACCTTGTGACGGGCGCCCTACGGCTGCCACGTCACACTCCACTCAAGAAACAACTTTTGCTCTGGCGAGTAGAGGCGAAGTAAAAGCTTGCGGTTATCCCTTAGTGAAAACGGAACATCCGAAATTGTTCATTTTCGAAACATTCACCGACCTAAGCATTTTCAAGAAAATACATAATCCAGCAAATACGGATATTTTCACGTATATGAACTCGAAATTTGTGTACGTTGAGAAACATTTTCGCACTCAGTTAAACCAACTTTATAGAAATATCCTATATCAGCAATGTTATCTTGAACAGAAAATGCTTCAAAACGCTCTGGCAATTGCCACGCAATCACCAGATATATTTGCCTACCACCTCATGAAATCACCTGGGTATACTTCCGTCCTAGCTGGAGAAGTAATACACATTATTAAATGTGTACCAGTCGAGGTACAAGTTGCACCGACTACCAAATGTTACAATCAACTTCCAGTCGTAAGAGCCAATAACACATATTACTTAGCCCCTCAGACGCACTTATTACTCCGCCAAGGCACACAGGTTAACTGTAATCGGTTAGCACCTGTAATGTACCGATTAAGCGAGGCTTGGTATCAAATATCACCAAACCCTGTCGAGGCAATTCCACCGACGATCTTGAAACCGATGACAAGACCCATATGGAAATATACCAGTCCCGGTGAACTCGCCACTAGCGGAATCTACTCACAGGCCGATCTTGAAGAATTTAAAGATCATATTTTATTCCCTGCCGAGCGACCTTCTGTCCTTAACACATTAGCAAGAGGAATGATGGGACAAGCTACCACTATACACGGGGGATCCTTCATGAATTTGCTGGACGAAGCAGCTCTAGAAAAATTAGCAACCTCAACATGGGACAGGATATGGGGGAAATTTCTTATTTTCGGCAATATTAGTGCCGGGTTACTTGGCATCGTAATCATCATCAGGATGATTAAACTCAAACTAGACACTATCCTACATGGTGTCGCA